AGACGAAGAAGGTTTTAATTACGTTAATTAGCTCCTAAATTGTGCTTAAATCCTATATAATATGGTAAATAACTTATAAAGAAAGTTATTCAAAACAAATATTAGCTACTCTTTGCATAAAAATTTTAATATTAAATCAATAATTCATAATTTATATATTTTTAACCAGGACTAAAACAAAGCAGGACTCATTAAGCAATTTCTAAATAAAAATATAAATAATTTAAAACACAATTGGGTAACTTATTATGCATTAATGCTATTAATTAGTTTCTATGGTAAGATTTTTGTATGTCTACTGGGAATTGTGTTACCTGTAAAATTAGAGGCTCTACTTTATCTAGAATTATGAATATAAAATCAAGCATTAATATTTTAGAGATTAGAGCATTCCCATTCTAGTGTTATATAAACTATAGAACGTATTGTACGGTACTGTACAATAAGTTTGTCTATCTCTAAACACAATTTGATTAAATCGTTTTTGATTCACCCTGTATGCATATAATAGATTCGATTTTAAATATAAAATTCAAATTAGGGCGTGGATAACAGAGAATAATACAGAAAAATAGCACGCTACGAGGGGAGGGGAATGGAATAAAAATATATTAAAAATGCAATTAAGAGATATTAAGAAATTAAATAAATTACAGAATATTTGATACTCAAAATTAGCTTTTAAATAACTGTTATTTAACGAAATTGAATTCAGAGTAAAGGGGAGAGAGAAAGAGAATAGGTCTACATCATTAGCTAATATATTTACCAATATACAATTACTGAATCGAGTTATTCTATTACGTATCGATTTAAGTAGAAAAGTAGAGGAATTACTATCGAATTTTTCCAAGAAAATAATTGACGTTAGTCAGAATATACAAAGAAATAATGCACTTTCCTATCGCATCCGATACAAACTTTCTATTAAGGAATGAAAGAATGACTTTTTGCCTGCTAATTACTTCGCAATGATTGACGTCACGTCGAGTAATGCAAAGGTTGTTGGTAACTTTTTATATTTCCTTCAATAGATTTCGAGTAAGAGAGAAAATTTCCACTTTATTCTGGGTTAATTTGGTTAAAATAATGGCAATTTGAGGATTTTAAATCTCTTTTATTTATTAAAATTCCGAAAGAAATTATATAATTTTTGTATTAAAAATTATTATTGAAAGTTAAGTAATTGAATAAATTAACTTTTTCCAATATTTAATTCGTGAATTAAAGTTAATTATTACTACAAATAAGACAATTTACAGTAAATTGCTTTAAGTTCTTTATCCCCAAATTATATAAAACGAGTAATTTTCAGCACATTATTTACATAAAATTTGGAAAATTAATTTTTATTTCAAAATTAAATTTCGATTTATTAATTAAAGCAAATTCATTAAGTTTTGAAATTATAAGAAAACTTTTTCCGCTACAGTCTCAATAAACACTCTGTTCTATCGAATGTTTGATATAGTAGAGGGGCCAAACCGTGACGTTTCTACCCAATAGGCGCGTAGGGCCTCGTTGTCTCCGAAGGCCTCAAAAATACATAGAAAAAGATAATATGCCCGTAAAAATTTATTATTAAATTATAATAGCATTATCGATCAATTTGCAAATTTAAAAGCACGAAAGGTAGGTAATACTAACGAGACAAATTACGTAAATGGTTATAAATAGAGAAAAAGCTAGTTATTATTTAAATTTTATTGTTTTTTAACCTAACAAAGCACTTTTACGTAAAGGGACTGGTAACAAAGTTGCATCTAGGGCCCGAAAGCGACACGATCCACCACCAAACACTTCTCCTTTTAATATTCTGTGCTTATCTAAATAAAGTATTGTGATTTAAAACGAGTCTATTTAATTCATAATCAATAATAAGAAATCCATAAATCGTGGTAACGGCCAGCGATTTTAACAAAATCGATGGCACAGCATTTACGTGACTTATATACACTGTCCACTTATCATTACTCTGCAATATTATAGAGATAAGTATTCAGATTGTCGTTACGTACAGTAAGAGAGACAATCACTTGTTTGTACAGTAATTTTGCTACAGTTGGTCGTAATGTACGTGATCTGAATGATTTATTTCGGACGGCGCTTTTGTTTGTCATAAATTGCAAAGTTAAAATTATTCTCATCGATAAAAGTACACGTTATATATTCAAAATACAAAGTTATCTAGTTAGGATCGTATGAGGGATGACACACAGTTAAAAACAGCCAACAGGCTTATTTAAGATAAATATTATCTTCGCTTTCTTAATTAATTACTTGTTTCTGTTTCCAAATGAAATTTATGAAATTTATGCTTTGATAATTGAACTTTTATAAAGAAAATCGTGATTCCCGCGATTTAGCAAAGGAATAAAATTAATTATATTTAAGAAATCCTTATAAAACTCGGTATTTTATCGGTAAAATTATTGGCATTTCTCCGAAAAATTAGATTTTTTTCCTTTACCAAAAGAAAGTTCAATCGATATCCTTTCTTTATATAAAAGAAGGACTGAATATGGGATCCCTGTACATTAAGGGCTTAAGGTAACTGACCCGTCCCTATCAGGGCCTATATCTATATTAAACTAACCAATATTTATCAGAAATTCAAAGTAGAAATTAAAAAGTTTAGCCAGTTTATTTGATAACTTTTATATAAAAGTCTTGACTGAACGAACATTACTTTTTAATTGATTGTGTTTATCAAGCTAAAATAGATACATTAACACACAAAAAAATCATTCAAAGTAAAGCAGTATTTATGTACCTTAATTACAATTTCCATCAAAAGTTTACTGTTTTTATTTATTTTATTTTAAATCGATTAATCGTTTCTCGCAGCCACTTATCATATTCATCTGTCAAATAAACAACACTGAGTAAATAACGTGTGGAAAAATCAAAGTTTTCAAACATATATTTATAAATGTAAATTCTATTTAATGTAATTAAAAGCTTTAATATCATAAAAACCTTCCTCATTAATGAGTTAACGAATTGGAAATTATTTAAATGTCAAGGCTTTTTGTACATTAAAAATTTCTTTTTCTATAACTAAGCTGTAGTATTGTCTTAAAGATATCTTAAATATCATTAAGATAACTAGATAACTATTTGTATAATTTGATAGCTTATATAATTAGATAAATACTCACTTAATCCAGTTGAACTACTCAAATTTTAAACATAATTAAGAGAGTAAACTAGTCGAAACTAACGCGATGATATTGTTTAGAAGTTATAAATTTAGTTTAATGCACAATTTAACAAACAGAATTTGTCCGAAAAAGTAAAAAGTTTGTACGCGTGACGTTCTCTTCTCTGTAATTCTATTTAAGTAATATATAAGTTAGTAAATGGACTTACATAAATATCTTTTTATGTTATTTTATGTACTGTACTGTACCTTTGAATAATTTTATAGAATTTAAGGTTTGTTTACAGAATTCTTATACTTAAATTGATTGTTATTTTTAGTGCTTAGATAAGAAAATTTTGTTTTCTCGCTTACGAAAGACAACTTAGGAGTAAATTTTTCAGTTTAAAACCAAGAGAAAGCATCAGTTAATGCCTAATTTACGAAAATTTGCCTTTTAAAATTTACGCAATCTACAAATTAAAAGAGTTATATTATTTATAATAATTGTATGGTTAGCTTATCATAATATTGTAGCGTGTATCTAGAACTATGTTTGAGTGGAATAAAATATTTCACTTATAATTATATTATTTAGCCCAAAATTAAAAGAAAATAATATTTTAAACAGTAAGTTATAGAATACCAATTACAGATTTATTCATTTATAGATTTAAATAAGCATATACAAGTGTAAAATGATAAATTATAAATGATCATAACGCTAACTTTTGACCAATTAAACTGTAAACCATAAAACTATAAACTACCACATTTAAATTGTTACGTAATGTTAGAAAACTACCACATTTAATTGTAAACTTAGATGTGGCAGTTTAACTACAATTATAAAACTGTAAACTTAGAGACATAGCACGAAACTGTAAACCGTATATCTGTAGATTACAATACTTAAGTGCAATTATATATATACTCATAAATACCCATATATAATTGTAAATTACTGTTAAAATTATACATTAAAATACATCAATGTTAAGAATTTTTACTTAATATTGTTGTAGAATGAGATGATTAATCGAGAAACAAATACTGTAATTACAAATTTCTCACAATTAATTCGAATTCAATCGATCAAAATTTATTTTATTCATTTTTAATAGTATAAGTAATTTTAAAAAATCAGCAAAAATCTGAAGATGTTAGAACTAAATATAATAAAACTTTAAAGATATAAACATACATTTTAAATTGATTCTTTGCAAGAAATTACTTTTATAAAGTATAGTCGTACGTAACAGTAACCTTTGAACTTGTTTTATTCCTTAGAGAGTGATATTTCTCACTTTAATACATGACAATGTACAGTACACAAGATAATCCGACTGTTTAGACATTCATTTAATTTTTTTGCATCGAGTCTAACATTAAACGTACGCAAATTAATCTTACGTTTTCTGCCCAAATTTCAAACGTTTTTCTTACGAAAAATGACGTAACAAATTGTGATAAAGGCGAAAAATACGCGTATACGTTACATAATAATTAAATACGTTATAAAATACAAAAGTGATCGATTAATTTATAATCCCCTGACGTGCAATATATATTTTAAAATTTGAATTTTTATAATACGTCATAAAACAAAACTGATAAAAAATCAAATAATAACTTATTTGTGACGTAACAATGGAAGAAAAACTAATAATTAATTATCGTGCGATAACATATTTGTGACGTAAAAGTATAAAATCTTGTAAAAACTAAATTGAATTGACAGTTAAAAACTACTCGAAGTAACTTAAGCGCAACAACGAGGAAAAACACGAATAAAAGCGTACTTTAGAAATAAAAATAAAATTGATAGATGATAAATTTAAATCCGGATTTAACTTACTTTTAGCGCATTACTTGTAATTTCCATGTTATCTGCTATTTGTTTGAGTCTTCTTCCCACTCTTGTAATCGCCGTTTGTTTCATTCTCAATTTATCTTCGCAGCAGATAACGAGATCTGGTAATGGCTTGAGATAATGAGAAGTGGCTACAGTTGCCTGTTGATTCAAAACACCTGTTGGAAGTAGAAAAATTGAAAAGCTACTCAACACGCTTTTCATCGGAAAAGAAGAGGAATAAACCCACACCGAAATATTTCATACACGTTTAATTTATTTCTCTGCCACCAGATAATTAATTATAATTTACGATTGATTATACCGTTTTGATGCTTTTTAATTATTTTTTAATTCTTTTAATATTTAAAACTGTACAAATTAATTATTAATATTTTGGGTATTTTAAGTCGATGTTTTACTTATCACGTATCCATTTTAGTTCGTGGCTAAGTTATTTAATTAATTACAGCGAAGTTATCCAGTTACAGGAAGTTAAATTTACTTTAGGAAGCGTTAACACAGTAGCGTAATTTTCTATCACATTTTAAGAGAGGAAGGAGAGTATGACGTATATATGACAACGAAACAAGTATAATGTAAGGAATTTTACATTAAAAAATGCACAAGAACACTACTTTTTAGCTATTGTGTTAATAAAAAAACGAAAGCTAAAATAGCTAAAATATCGTTTTAAAAACTATATTATAAGCTATTTAACTTCCTTTATTTATTAACGCAATCCTAAAGTTTAAGGGTCTTTTAGCTACTTAGTAAAAAGCCTTTAAACTATTAACTATTTAGCTAAATAGTAATACTTTAAAGGGTGTTTTAGTTATTTAAATACTAACAAGTTCTTAAAATCTAAGCTTAAACAGCTGGAGGAATTTTTAAAAATGTCTTTTTAGTAAAAATATATGGTTTAAACTTACGGATTACAAACTCATGCAACAAAACGATTTAAAATTTTTAGTATTATTTTATAAATTATAACACTCTAAAATAATAATAAAACTATAAACTGTAGAAATTACAAGACATTGGTATGTATATATCTATATATGTAAATGCTCACCTCCTTCGCAGCATTGACAAATGATTTCGGATTGGGAATCGAGCATATCTTTCCAGTGTTTGTAACAGAGAAATGGCATCGCTCGAAATCACAAGTTATCAAACACGTGGTTTTTGTGATTGTTCCATAAGACCACGTGGCGTCAATCGTCTGTCGACTAAAATGCACAGAGCAGACTCAGTCGGTTATCCAATAACCGCGGTGCATCGTCTGTCATATACAATTGAAGCTATCGTGCGTCATCCCCGAATTCGAAGATGTTTCTACTATTTTTTTGAATCTTATTTTATTTAAACTTTAAATTGACTTCGGGTAAGGTCTTTTATGTTAATTAGCAAATTAATAATAGCAATTTTCTTCTATACAAGACAACGATTGATGTAAATGTATGTAAATGATAATAGATAAGTGTCTCTCCTACTTAAAGTTTTGTGGGTGACGAATGAAAAAAAGGGCACAGTTTTACACGTTTGAAGAGTAATTAAAAGTGTGTACATAATGATAACGATATCTAAATGATTGCATACAATTGGATGAATTTTAATTAAATCGTAAAAGTTACAACGAGTTTTTTTATTAATCATTAAACATTTGGCATTCTTCCACCAAGTTTTTTTTGCGTTTTATCTTAATTTTTTGGATGGAAAAGTAGGAAAAAAATTATAAATATTCATGGCAAACTTTGTCTTTTTTCTTGTGGGATTTTTTATTATTGAAATAGATTAGAAAATATTTGATTTGCATATTTTTCTCGTGTTGAATTTACTTTATTACTTTCATTGTTGTATATATGTACTGTACTGTGCATTTCAGTAAATCAGTTTCGTTCTACGTTAGGGATATACGAGGAAATTTGTAGATAACAAGCATTTCTCGTGTATGTTACTACAATATATTCGTTTCATTTATGTAACAGACACGTTAATAATGACACGCCACAATGAAATAAACAGTAAAAAAAGAAACAAAATATGCAAAATCTAGCATTTTTATTTGTAAAAATCGTCCTTTCGATAATAAAAGTGACCAATTTTAAGCATAAATAAACAAAAAGAACTCGTTTAATTATTTTCAAAATATATTTAAACTATCAAATTAATTGGCTTATACGTAATAATAATAAATTTTCCCACGTATCGCATCATTAAAAATTTCTAATTAATTTATACCAGGTGTACTTTTTAATATATCACCCGCTACAAAATTAAAAAGTATGCGTGTAACCAGATTTAATTAAATCATCCAACTGTAGAGAGTTAAAAAGTGATATTTTCGAACAGACAAACGAACGGGTAAACGCAAAAAACGTAATATTAGGTCAAAAAATCACTTGTTGAACATGTTTCTTATGGAATAACGTTACTAGAAAGTTTAGCTGGAAACACGCGAACACACAGGACGTACACGCGATATCGCGTAGAAAACGAAAGAAACTAAGCTCTTAAACTTGCTTAATTTAACAGATTCTTTATATTTAGTTAACTTTTTAAAGGGGTAAAGGGATTAAATTAAACTCTAAACAATCGATTATTGGGAAAAATGATAGAAGTTTTCATCAACCAGTTCTGGGTTTATGAATATTTTAACATTGATTCCTATGTTATTATTTACAGTTATATTATTATTATTATCAGTTTTAAATCACGTGATAGCCCTTATCTGTTTGAGAAAAAGTAAAAATATATTTCCCCCTTTTCAATGTTGTCTAAACAGATGATTTCGCTGCACGCAATCTTTACTCGACAGTGAAACAGCCATTGCAGGGGGGAACGAATACATCGATTGACTCCAGACCAGGCTGAGAGGGTTGGAACGATTAAATCTCTGGGTAATAAACATTTATCAGATGAATTTTGACAGGAGGAAAGATACCACCAGCTCCTGTATATACTCTTTAAAACACTCTAAATGGACTAAAGTTACGATTATTTCTATTATGATCTGATAACGAATGATTTTTCATCGCTGAATTCTACCGAGTTTAACGCTTTTTTAGTAAAATTAATCGTTTTTTCTCGTTAAAACTTATTATAATTTTATGTTTGCTTCTGTACAAAAAGCTTCAGTTGTTTATAATGGAAGAACTCGTAAAATGAGAAGAATTACAATTTTATAAAACAAATGTAAAATTAAGAAAAGAAAAGAAGAAGAAAAAAAATTAAACTCCTTTAACTTGTTTTATTTAATTTCATATTAAATCGTCTTCACTCATATTTTAAAAAAATATATAAAATTTAATTAATTAATAATTCAATAATACTTTTATTAATTATTAACAAATGATTAATTAATTAATTAATTAATTTTTACATATTCAACGTTAAATCTTTATTAACAGTATAAAACAAATGTACAATAATTAATATTTTGTGGTTGTTTTTAATGGATTAAAATTGTTCCCGTAGTTTAATAACGTAATAACAGCTTAAAATTATTAAAACTATTCGTAGCCAAATTAATAAATACTGTCTTGTATGAATAAGGGCATATAACGTAGTATTGTATATATTCAATTATTAAATATATATTTGTATGTAGAAAAACTAATATTTGTATATAAAACGAGTTAAATGTTTTCTCATAATTCATCTCGTTTTAATTACAGGAAACGATAAAAAAATAAAATAAATACAGTATTATCCTCTATTATGTTCTAGAACTTGATACTCGTCTTTTGTAAACAAATATGTCGTTCTGTCTATTGTATCGTTACAAATAATAGATTTTTATCTGGTCTTTTTGACGTTTTCGAGTGAGTTTGTGAATCACCGACATTATGACGTAAATTCTGTTTAAATTCTTTATATTATTTTGAAAATGCCTTTGTTTATAATGACGTAACAAGGTTTTTGATAGTAGTGGTGGATGTGATATTGCGTAAATTATCAAACTTATGGCATTAAAAATATTTAAATCATACGAAAGAATATAAAAAGTGATATAAAATTACATTGTTATAATTAAAATAATCATATTATAGTTAGATCTGATAATAATATTGTACTGTTAAGCTATGTAAGTAACCGAGTTATGCAAAATACTAATAGTAAAGTTATAGCATTCAATATTAACTCTTACGTAATACAGTACTACATTATTGTTAAGTATAACATCAATTCTATGACGTATTTTTATGATTTTATAAATAATTTAAATGATAATTATAAAATTATAAAGTAATTTATATAATTATTAATTATGCAATTTGAATTTTTTCATGTAAATGCGATCTAATTTTTGCTGCTTTTAATAATTATTTAAAAATCAGAATTAAAAATAATTAAATTTTATTATAAAATTTGAAATTGATTACAATTAACGATCGTAAATCTCTTAATAAAATAGTATTTTATACTCGAATGCATTCTGACTTGCAAACGATAAAAAAGTTTCCAGAATTTAGTTTGAAAAATGACTTTTAATTGTTAAATAAAGAGGAATATTTATAAATAAATAGATTTTAAAATAAAAAGAGAAAATTGTATATTTACAGGGAAGAGAATGTTGTGTAACTGGAGTTATCCAAGCATTGAAAGTCACAGTTGGTGACATAACGTCATCGCAAATGTTCGACATTAGATTGCGGACCTCCCGTAGCGAAAGCACATTAACGTTTTGTTGTTACAGATAAAATTACAGCTTAGAATTACATGTCTGTCACTTCGGTTTGTTTACAGAAATCTTTCAATTTTACAACTTCGTTTTAAAACTTTAAATATTTATTGTTACATACACCGTCAAGAATATCGATGAATCCTTTAATATGTATCGTGCGCTTAAGTATATAAACGCCAAATAAATATGTTTTAAATGATTTTTTTACACTTTAAACGTAAAAATAAAATTATTTAAGTGACAAATTTTCAAAATTCAATAATATTTTTAGCATTACGTATATACATTATTAGAAATTTAAATGAACTTTTTCATTTTAACCGTGCTAAATGCATCAAAAATTGATGATATTCATTACTTTAAAGAAATTAATTTGTTTTTAAATTAAATAAATGTACAGTACGCCAGTTTACCGAAAATAAGTAATTTATTTATTGTGTTTGTTTAGTTTTTTTAAAGGTTTATTTACATATTAAACTATTAAACATGCTACGAATCATTTGTTAATATTTCAGCATTTCAAGTATTTTTAAAACTTAATTTTTATGCATAAAAACTAATTAAATGCTCAAATATTTGCATAATTTAACTTTTAAAATACATTAAGTACATTAAAACTCGCTTTAAAGATAGAAAGTTACATTTTTAATGAATAAAACATAGTTTTAATACAATTTTAGGGTTATTTTCGCATAATTTTACTCTTTTAAAATTATATTCAACTGCATATTTTATAATTATTGCAACTACAAACTAAATTGACAGTTTTAAACCATTTAAAAAAGTATAAAAATTGGCGGAAAACAGACTTTAATGATGATAAAGCACATTTTTAATAAAGAAAAAAAATGGCTTTTCTAGTAGAAAATTGCCCTTTTGAGGGTAAGAAAAATTCTCTCCCCTCTCAACCGCACCCATAAACTTGATTACGCTGGGTATATTTAGAGTAACGAATCTTCCTAGCGTATCAAAAGTAAACATGATTCAGCTAACCTGCCTGGCGGAATTTACTAACATTTAATGGTAGCTATACTACAAGGACAAAAGAACACGGTTATTAATCATGTGACCAATAGTGTTTAAAGTTCCTGGCTAATGCCATCAACTTCGTGTGAAGTAATCCCTAACGGTTTGACATCTGGCCATACGAGGGACATTTTCATTAGGGAAATGGACAGTGCAGCTGATTATAAAGCCCTACCAATAGAGCAGGAGATGTGGAAGGACAGTACCGTCAATCATACAATAAACTAATCGAATAACCGGTTATTTTAACCATAAACTTAACACGAGAATTTGTTAAAGATTTTATCCACGTTAAACCCTTTTCACGTGTCTTTTGCGTAATTTTATTTATAAATTTTCATAAAATTTTAATAATAATTAGTTAATTTAAGTTCTTTTATCCGATAATCGATTTTCAGGTTAGTTTCCTGCGAGTTAAATGTTTTCTCATAATTCATCTCGTTTTAATTACAGGAAACGATAAAAAAATAAAATAAATACAGTATTATCCTCTATTATGTTCTAGAACTTGATACTCGTCTTTTGTAAACAAATATGTCGTTCTGTCTATTGTATCGTTACAAATAATAGATTTTTATCTGGTCTTTTTGACGTTTTCGAGTGAGTTTGTGAATCACCGACATTATGACGTAAATTCTGTTTAAATTCTTTATATTATTTTGAAAATGCCTTTGTTTATAATGACGTAACAAGGTTTTTGATAGTAGTGGTGGATGTGATATTGCGTAAATTATCAAACTTATGGCATTAAAAATATTTAAATCATACGAAAGAATATAAAAAGTGATATAAAATTACATTGTTATAATTAAAATAATCATATTATAGTTAGATCTGATAATAATATTGTACTGTTAAGCTATGTAAGTAACCGAGTTATGCAAAATACTAANGTGCAGGGATTCCTCGTCTATAAAACAGTTTAAATATTACAAGTTAAAATTTAAAATAATTTTTAATTTATTTTATTTTACATTTTTTTGGTGGATAACTTACCTGAGCATTCGGCATCTGTGCTGATCCAAACGGAAGCTAGCATCATCCGTATTATTCAACGATGCATGACTCCATAATCTTTCTGCCACAGCTGATGCTCTAGGCCTTTTAAGTTAATTAAAATGGTTATAATTAAGTCTAATCCCATTAATTTATACTTATAAATAAAAATTGTACCATAATCTGGCTATGAGATTAGTTCCGTCTACGTATTCTCCCCACATACACGCTTCACCTCCAATCACTAAATTCTTCTCCTCTTCGGTTCCTGTTCATTTTCATCGAGGAAAAACTCGTTTTAATAATTAATTATCAGTCAAATATTTAGTTTTTATATTTGAAACATTACCTGGGAATCCTCTAGGATCACAATTATAATATTTTTTCCAATCTTGTCCGTAATCTATGTAATTAAGATACCAACAAGCTGATAGAACCATTTGATATCCTTTCTTAGCTATTGGCGTTATGTATTTTTCCCAATAATCCAAATTCGGATCAAGATATTTATCCTTCCAAATTTCTACAATTGTATCTGGTGCCATCTAAATTTATTAATACGAATAAAATTAAGGAAAACTACTTTCAGGCAGCACCAAAAAATTATTTTAGTCTACACATAAAAATTTACCGTTACGCCATTATCTACAGGATCTTGCCACGTCATGTACTTGTAACCAACGTCTTTAACCACTTTAATGGCATTTCTAACGTAATATTGCTCGATCTCATTATAATCCTTCATACCATTCTTTTCCATAAAGGCTTTTATATGTGGGTTCGATTTCCTATATTAAAATTTAAAAATTTAACTAATCAAATTCAAACTTTGAAATTTAAAGCGGATTTAAATATTTAAATTCGATTGGTGAAATATAACCAATTAAACGTCAACAATTAAATTTAGTCAATAAATTTCAAGTATATTCAACTTAAATTTCAAATATACTCGAATCTAATTGGTTAATAAATTTAAAAGGCTCGATTGTTGCGTATTTTTATTCTATTTATCTGACATTGAAAGTATATAGAAATCAATGGACAATTTACCAGCAGGCGTAGTAAACTTCATCCATTCCGAGATGCATGTAATCGTCGGGAAACAAGCTTCTAACTTCTCCAAATAATATTCTAAGAAATTCGTAAGTCTCATTTTGTATTGGATACAAAGTTTCTGCTTCAGAATGTTCAGGATAATTTGTTGTGTAGGGTTTATCTGGTCCTTCTCCATAACAGGGCGTTAACAGATCTGCGGGATGTCAAACAGTTTAAGGGAAAACTAATGACGTTTAATGTTAGTTAAATGCATACTTACGTGGAAAGGCTCGTCCCAGAGCATAAGCGTGTCCTGGTGTATCTATCTCGGGCATAACTCGTATACCTCTCAACCTGGCATACTCGATGATGTCTTTCATATCTTTTTGAGTGTAAATGTGTTTTTGACTGTAGGCTCCCTTAAATATTATAGCAATTTAGTAATTTCAATATAAAATAAGATTTAAAATATGATTTTGACTTACTAATTTGGTAAGATTTGGGAAGATTTTACTTTCGAAAGGGAATGCTTGATCGTCTACTAAATGCCAGTGGAAAACGTTGAATTTATTAAAAGCCATCGCATCCTAAGAAAATTATTTTAAAAAATAATTTCAAACGTAAAATTTTAATGAAAATTTTGAAAATTTAAATTAATTAGTATTTAATCCAATCAGCGTAAATTATATTTCATTTTAAATTAGATCACACCAATCGGGATTGAATGTAGTTTTCATGGTTAAATTCAAAATTTTTCGAGGAACTGATTGGTTAAAGCTAGAAATACCTTAAAATTAAAATATTAATTTAACCAATCAGTTACACCGATAAAAATTTTAAATTTAAAACAATTTAAATCAATTTTTTTGAAATGTATTAAAATTTAAGTATTAAAAAACGTAATAATAGCGAAATTGTATCCAATCAAACGGAAGTAGCTATGACGTGAAATCTAATAAACCAATAAGTGATATATATTCAGATTCGAACATCAAATGAGACTAACCAAATTTTGTTTGAGCACTTTCATTGGCTGGAAATGTCTAGCAGTATCCAATAAGATGCCACGATAGGTAAAGGTAGGGAAATCATCGATTGTTGTCTTGTTAATGTAGTACTAAACGAAAAAATAAAAGAAATAAATAATTTTTCGCAGAAATTTCTCGATATTTTATTTATGAAGTTAGAAAATTTATTACGACTCGCGTCTTGTCATCTTGATAAACTAGTTGACTGAATGTTTCGAGGCCTACAACAAATTAATAAACAGTACATTATGTTAATTAGAAAAAGATGTAAATATTTAATTTATTTACTATAAAATTCATCAGTTAGTTCAAAACACGATTTTAAAAATTTAAATATTTTAATTACGGTAGTTTGAACTTTAATTGAGTTAGTTTAAATGAACGTAGTTAAACATAAATAATAAAATGTAATGTAAATATAAAAAACATTTTAAAAAATTAGAAAATAAACTATTCTTATCATCATTCAATGAGTAAAACCAGCAAAAAACCCTTCGCTCTCAAATAAATATCCGAATTAAATTTAAAAATTTAAATTTATTTACATTTAATCCGATCAGAGTTGGTAATATTTGAATTTGAATTAATATTTTAATAAAGAATTGATATGAGGAAAAGCAGCCATTTTATACGTAAAGCAGCAAAGAAAAGAAAGTTTAAGCAGCATTTAAAGCAATTTTGTTAATTTAACTTTCAATTTATTTATCAAATACCTTTAGAATTTATCAAATAAAAGTTCAAAGTATAAACTTTAATGATAATTTAACATTAGAGATGCATTTCTCAAGATATAAACTCACCTTTGATTGCACCCCACACTGTTTTAGATGTAATTTTAGCTTCTCCGCTATCGGGAACTTCGATTTTATCTAAATTTATTCAATTAGTTATTTTCAGCTATAATAATCAAACGGACTTAGTTAGATTTTAGTATAAACTTACAAGATTCGTCATCTCCTAGTTTAGGATAACCACAGGATTTGTCCTCGACTTCGACTCCTAAACCGGTTAGCTGTGGTACAGAAGCATCTTTAGTTCCTTTACTGTCGGGAAAAGCGTAATTTCTGTATCTCCACAGTCCTTGATCGATAATATCGCAACTTCTAGCGTTCGAAGTAAAGACGAAATTTTGAATGTCTATCGATAATCTTTTGTGAGAGGAGATCCATACTTGTGGATGAGGCCAGGGTGAACCGGGTGGTGCTCTTCTACCCTTTAATTAAATGTTTAATAAACTAGATAATTTAGTAATCAATAACCGCACTAAACTATAATTTATATGTCCCAAACCTCTTTATAATATTAAGTTTTATATTATTTGCTTTTTACATTAATGAGGCTGTAAAGAATAATGAGCGATTTTTAAACTAAAATTTATTATGTAGAAGATTTTATTTTGGAATTTTGAAGCGCTTATTGTCTACATTGCATTTACTAAATATCTGATATAACCAGGAGAATTTCTTTAATCTTAGTCTAGTTTCTACAGTCGGTCAGTATTCAAATAAAAATATAATACACCCTTTTTAAAATACTGTTTTGAATTTTTAATATATCCTGGTCCACTTACCTCGAGAAAGGTAGGTGGACCAGACCTGATTCAACCTGTAAAAGGTTTTATCTACATTTCTTTAGGCTAGTAAATGTCTAATATTTTTGGTTCGTTTAACAAACTATGTTAAATTATTAATAATAATAAACATTGGCACGTATCAGTATTTTATCATAATAAATATTGGAACAGTCTGTACGTTTAACGTGTATTTACTATGTAATCGTATCAATTGATAATTTCTAAATTTCTACGTAAACGTCTTACTTACAGGTAAAGGTAAACGCGGTTCTATCCAAGTTATGAACCCATTTATGAAGCAGAAGGCTGACAAAAATACTAAAATGGTATACACGGATGACATGATGAGGCCTTGGAGATGAAATTAACTCCAGCTATTTATACGTTTTGTTTCTATAGATAATCTTTAACCTGTTCGGATAATTTCTCACCTGTTGTCTCGCTATTAACTTTATTACTATCAATTCATTATCTTATCGTTGAAAAATAGATAATAATACCTTCATTATTCAAACAGTATTTATAAAATTATTATATAAAAAGCTTATAAGGCTAATATTTCTAAAAATTTATTTTTAATTAATCATTCTTATATATTTTGAGGTTGAGAAATATAATAAAAATCGATAAGTATAATTAATTATTTTCATTAAGGGTATTATCGTATTTTGTAAAGAAAGAATCTAGTGTTTTTCCTGTCGATAAATATAGAATAACCACAGATAATGGCAGAAGAAACTGAATTTTTTCCTCCGGAACCAGTTGTTACACATTCCATTAAGTAACCAAATGCTTGTAACACATTGACGGATTTAAGAACCTTCTCACTTCTCGACAGTGAGGTCCTTTCGTAAAAATAAAGTAGGTAATCTAAATTGATATATTTTCCCGTAAAAATATAAAACATATTTAAGCTAAAAAACAAACATTTTTCATTAAAATTAGTCTACTCCTTAATAAATTTAATTGTATTGAGTAGGGATGATTGTTGTGGATATTATCTGCAGCCTATAAGCGACAGTTGATAAAGGACAAAGGACTTAAATGCATAGTGTCGAAGAAAACATTTTGCAGATTATAATGTTATATAAATGAAAGGTTTGCAAGTCTTTCGTTGCTTATTAGAGTATGCTTCATAGCTGAAATCAACCTAAAAATTCTTGCAAACATAAAAAGTCCACTGCCTAATATAAAAAGCTAACCTAATAAATAATGTTGAAAGGAAATTAGATACAATTATGCCAATCTGAACGATGATGGTTAGGAATATAAAGAAAATATAAGCGGATCTTTTCTTATTCCAGTTAATTATCATTTCGTAACTATAATTTATTATTATTAAAATTGTTTATTTTGTTTTCTATATTTTAGAGAAAATCACATATGTTCTTAAATAAATAGATAGATATTTAATTATATATATATTGTTAGCCCAGGAACTAATTAATTAATTTCTTAACGCTTTATTAAACATGAACATATAAAGGAAATATAGGAACATAAAATTTGGAAATGCATTAAAAAAGTAAGAATTGAATTTATGGCTTAAAAATGAAATGTTAAAGATTATCTGGAGCCAACACGACACACAGGTTATGTACTGTAGAGTACTGTACCAAGAGGAGTGCCTCCCGGAAGGACGTTCCATAGAAAACTGGCCTCTATTTAGTTGTTATATATGTGAAGAAAACCCGAAAATCTTCACGTGACTAGCTCGTTAGTCAGATGCAAATCCACGACCAACCACCAGTGTAAAATAAAAATCGGAATAACATTCATTTGCTTTTTATATCTCTTAATTTTTATGTTTCAAATTTACAGTGTTAACTCAGTTTATTGAACGATTGTTATTATATGTTTTTTATTAACTTTCTTGCTCCGCGTGTCCGGATAAAATCTTGTAACTCAGTTTTTCACCAAAAGTAAAAGTCTTTGAGCACTCGTGTTTAGAAATATTCTTAGCTACACATTGTATTAAGTTTTATGGCTTCCCACCAGCGCCCATGCTTTTACTTTCGGTTGCATAATACCAAGAATATTGCGAAAGCTAATTTATTTTTTACTTTTTAGTGCCTTTCTGTTAGTGAAAAGCGTTTCTTTAAAATTTTTTAAATTTTAAGATATTTTCTTAAAAAATAACTTGAGAATAAACGTATATCTTGATATTAATTATGTAATGAAGTGTCGTCTAACCCGAGTAAAACAGAAACCACGACAGATAAATATTTAAAAAAAAAAAATATGTTTTATTTGTTCGATAAGCTATGTAGAGAAACGAATATATACAGTCGACTCGTTAACTTCGACGGGTGACCAGGAATTATGGCTAAAGGTTTTTATTTAAGAGATTAAACATTGTGTTTCACGATTTTGTAGAGTGGTTATAAACTCCATACTTACGAAATTGTGCCTGGAGTATCCTAGTTAAAAATATCTCCATGATAAAATTCGATATGTTTTCTCCTCGAGATTCGGACTTAACAACACGTGACAATTCAGTTTGTAAAAATTCTCGGTCCATTCTTCAACCGAGACTTAAAAACAACCATTGATTTAATATGCATTTTTATGAAGGTTTAATATACACACGTAGAGCACTACTACTTTCTTAATAATCATAAGATATGCTTTTGTTTTTTTCATTTATTAATGGCTTATAACATAGAATTTTAAAATAAATATAAAAATCTATATACAAGTGTAAACTCTATATTTTATGATATATTCTATTTTATACAGTATATAAAATTAAATTGGTTATTAATGAAACGGAATATGAAGCAGAAAAAAATAAGATGATTTTATTTATTTATTTTTAATCAACAAACTAAAGCCAAATACATTCACTTCTCTTAAAGATTTACATAAAATCGAAACGGCTGGCAGACTATAGAGCTAGCATCTAACTCGAGCATACGATACAAGGAACGTAATAACGTTTCTCTTCTCTGCTAACTATTAAATTCTCCAATTTTCCCCAATTCGTATCATTGTCCACATCGCTTTCGATAGATTTACGATTCATACAAATTAAATTGTTTCTCTTCCCGTTTCCTACTAAATATCCTTCGTAAACCACGGTCCAATGATAAGGACAATGTTTACGTCCTGGAAAAGTGACCACAGATCCTGCTGCGGGTAACCTACAGATAGCGCAACGTGCGATTCCTTTTTTTGTTTCCACTTCCGTCTTGTCTTTTTTAACAATATACATCTCGAAATTTACTTTCTTCACTTGTGGAGTGTCGAGATCGCTTCCGTTTATTCCTAATTCGGGACTTTCCTGAAGACAAAGGAAATTAGCCAATCCTCCAGAAGAGTCTCGAGACGAGGAAGCGGTGATGCCTTCCATAACCAATTCGGGCCAGATTCCGTAACATTTATTACCTCCCCAATGCGTGTACGTATCTCCAGTCCCTCCGAAAGGCTTCCAACTAAAAACTTAACAAAATAAACCGGAGATAAATCGTTTAGTCGCTCCTAATTCGACAAACTTTGAAGTATTCTTACCTGAAGCATCTCGAGTCTAAAAGAAATGAATAATTTTTAATGCGTATTGAAGTGCATTTTAAGCATTTTAAACTTAACTTACTATTCGTTGCCTCAATCGCAAGTACGCATCGTAATAAGCGCGAAGGGTTAGCATATCGACTTTACTGTTATACGCTTCAACGGCTGGCTTTAATTGCTGTGGACTACTCTGAACATCCAAATCTCCAATTACTTTAAAGAATTCCAGAATTACGTAATCTAGATCGTCACTGAACTTTCCTATCTAAGATATTTATGTCTGAAACACAGAACTGCTATTTCTTTACTCAAATTATTCAATTTTTACCTCAACTTCGTCTTTTTCGTCAAGGCTCCGAGGGATGTTCTGTAACCAGTTGTGTAAAGCTGTACGAGTGGTCAATAAATCGTCCAACAGGCCTTCTACGTTATCCAATTTTCCTTCTACATCACTATAAGATCAACATTATTTTGCTTATAATGTATAATTTAAACCGTGATCTATCTTCACCCTAACCTGTTTTTGAAAAACTTCGGAAGTTTAGAATCAAGTTCACTCAAGGGGACGAGTTCTACTCTTATAGGTACACCTTTCCCATTATTAAATTTAGCTAAATCTTCGTGAAAAACATCTAATAGTTTATGCAAATCTTTCATGGAACTCGGAACGAAACTAACAGGTATGGAACTGTAATACTTAATCTCCATAGAATCGACCATGTCTGCGATGTCTTTCATGTATTCTCCTTCGACTGTAATGGAAAATATTCTTAAACGGTGCAATAAACTTATAACATTTTAAAGAATTTACCTTCCACTTCTAAATCTAACCATCCTGCAACTCTGCCACCGACATCGATGGCGCCCTTGATGTGCTTTTTGTCTCTTGTACTTTTGCATTTTATTAACACAGAGACTATCAACTCCCCTCCGTAAGTGATGCTCCTAACATAATGAGTACCTAAAACTTTTGGATTCTTATTCCAACCTAGTTTAGGAACAGCATCGGATGGTAATGTTTCTGTTACCTACAAAAATAATGACAATATTTATCACTAAAATTTGTCCCACGTTAACACAAACCATTTCTATGAATTTCTGCCATTACTCTTTTCTTCTTTTCCAAATTTAAACTTACGCTTTATTGTTTATCGGAAATTAATATGACAATATGTTTAAACTATATTCACCGTTTCGTAGTGGGTTTTTATCAACATTTCCACACCGTTCTCTCTATTCTGAATATCTCCGAGATAATATCCAGAAGCACCGGCATTAAACAATCCTCCTTTGATTTTTAGCGAAAAGGAACCTTCCACTTCCAAAAAGTCTCTGGCTTCTATTGTATTCTCAACAAATTTATGGCGAGTTTCCGTAAATGTCTTATTAATTACCTACAGAAAAAGGCGAAACTCGTTCATCGAACAATTACCAAAAGTGTTAGTGAAAACTTTAACTCACCGTTGGATTATCTACGACATTTAAAGGAAAAATATCAACTCCAACTCTACCTTTACCCATATCAAATGTCCTTCCTAACAGTAAAGGTAAGATATAAGCCATAACTTGCGCCATTTTTCTCAACGAGGAAGCTTCTCTTTAATCGCGATACATGCGGACGATGAGAAGGAAACAGGTGTTGACGCGTTATTTCTTCCCCGTAGACAGATTCTAATCCAAGGTTATCTCTTATTAATTACTTGTATACGCTATATAATCAGAAGAAACACCTGTATGTTGTTAAATACGTAGAAAATCTTCTTAACTTTGAATTTCACAGTTGTAAAAGCATCGCTCGTATAAATTGTTTCTTTATAAGCAAAAAACTTTAAAAGAACTTAAAATATATTTTCATACAGTAAAATTTAATTAAATTACACAAAATTATCGTCATTACGGAATAACAATTTGATTGGTAACTGCAGATAAAATGAGTTATCGGAAATGGTGAGAAGTTTTCAGATGTGGAAGTGTTAAGTTCCTCTTGTACGCAAAAATGTTTGTAATTTATATACTTTTTCTTCTATTCGAGACTGTTTTATGGTAAGTGAATATTTAAATAATTAATAATAAATTTCGAAAATGCTTATTTAATTTTATAAGCTTTCAAAACTAGTAACAATATATCCAATGAAAATGGTCGTTTAGTGAAGAGCGAAAGTGCTTTTGATGGAGCAGGACGTACGATTCAAGTAAGCGCGAAGGATTATATCGAAAAATATAAGGAAAAATTGAATTTAGGAGATTGTCCAGTTAGAGAATTAACCTTTTCTAACGGCACAACTCGTATTATTCCTTGGTAAGTCCACGTTGGTATTTCTCTCATCATCGTGTAACTTAATATCTCCAGATTGTCACGTTACTTTTAATTATGTTCTTGTATAAATAGAAGTTTTATGTTTATTAATTTATAATATGAAGTCGAATGTATTCCTCTATGTAGTATGGAATATTATACATTTATTTGACTTTTAAAATGCAGAGTGGTTCAAATAATCGTGTGTTTTTTGCAAACAATACACAAGTTATTTTGAGGGATTAAAACTTTGAATTTTATGTATTAAACAAGACGAATATCATTTAAGACAAATTTGTAAAATTTGAAAGGGAAAAACATTCGACGAAAGCAGTTTAGTCTCTACGATGTTTAACTGATTATTGACGAATTCTGTACATTTATGCACAGAATTTGAGTTATGTTTTATACGTAATACTCGTAAACGTACTATATCTAAGAGGATAAGTACAGTAGAACTCGTTTAAGAAGTTCTCGCTTAAGAAGTTTTTTACAGCGGCCCGTTCAAAAACTGCTTAATAGAAAGGTTTTGAAGGGGCTGTTGCTTAATTCTACTGTATTAATATTTCTATACAAAACGTTAATTATTAATGACTCTTCTAGCCCCTTTAAATACACAGGAGATGTCCACTTCATACCACTTGCGAGAACAAATTTAGATATCAGACGTGTTCAAAAAGCGGAAGACGTCTTTTCAAGAGTAGGAGGTGGACTCGGAATAGGAGCGGGAGTTATGGGCTTGGCCAAAGTTAGCATAAAAGTGAGTAAAAATAACCTTATAAATTTTATTGGGAAAACATTCAAAAGTGTCTGAACTAGGCAAAAGGTTTACCTTATTATTTATGTCACAGAATACGATTTATAGAAGTGCCTTTAACTGAATGAACAGTACAGTACAGTACAGAATAATGCGAATGAAAAGTATTCATACGTGCATTCAGTGCATAAATGCATTCAAGTGTACCCATTCGCGTGGACAATGTTTTGTGTGGAGAATTTTGAGTCATTCCATATATTGAAAGAATATATAAAAGCAAGTAATGTTTTTCAGGTAAAAGCGGCGGTAGACATTCAAAATAACAAGAAACAAATGTCTTTAAGTAGTAATTATGTAATGCAAAGAGGTGTGCTGTCGTTGAGAAACGCTCGACCAGTGGGTGACGTGGATCCCGATTTTGTTACTCAGCTTTATCTCAGCGAAGTGGTAATTGGGGGAGAGGAAACACTTTTAGTCACCATGGAATTCGAATCGGAGCGAAAGAAAACTGAAGTTGAAACGACTGTGACGGTAAAAATATTGTTCATATCCATAACCGCTAAGATGAGATTCATATCCGAGAATTTTCATTCAGCCGCTGCGGTTAAGGTAAGGTATAAAAATATTTATATTAAATTTTTAATTTTTACGAATATCCATTTTAAGTGTCTTACGAACAGGTAAGTCGTGTGTCGTCGTGGAGGAGAACAGAAAGTCGAACTTTCTTAGGACCGGGCAGCTTAAAGTCTGCTCTGAAAGTTATAGAAGAATACGAAAATAAATTTAAAGTTGCTCCTCAAGAATTGCAACAATTACCTTTAGATGATAGCTCACTACACATAGAATATCATTTTAACACGTGGAAAACTCCTACTCAAGGTAATAATTCTAGAAATAAAAATTAAACTTTTTATCGATATTAATAAAATAAAAAAATATAACTTTCAGAGCTAAATTTTAACCAAGCTGAAGTGAATTCTTATTTAGAAGTATTAAAGAGAGAGATTTTAGAATTGGAAACAGTTGTTAAGAGAGTCAGATCGTACATAAACTACGTAAGTTCAGATTAAAATTTCATTAATAATATTATTCGCATAGTGTAGACATTGAGGATAGCCTAAAACTCAATCAACCATAATAAAGACTATACTCGAATTCAACCGTAATTTATTCTTTACAATGGTTAACTAACTTTTGGGAGACCTTGTGTACGAAAAAATATGACTGAGTATTTGAATAAGACAATAATTCAATGGAATTTTGATTCGTGTTTCTACGAAAAGTGTATCCAGAAAGCAAAACACGGTTAAATGACTTTTGGGCCGTCCTGTGTATTTAAATAATTAACTTGAAAAATTCATTTTACTCAGTGTAAATAGAATTACAAAACATGAAAACTTACGTCACAAAATGCACTTTAAACAGAAAATTTGCAACTGATAGAAAAAAAGAAAAATTTATTTAAATCTTCCTAAATTGAAATTTTATATAATAAATGTAATCTTTAACTCGAATAAATTGAGAAATTTATATAAAAGTTGGCAATTTACACCTCAAATTTTATTATTATACAAATGTCCACTTTTATTATTATTGGATAATATCGACAATTGCTCCCTTAGGTGAATCGTGTCGGCGCAGTAACCATTAACAAACGTAAAGAATTGGAGAAATTTGAAATTGAGATGAAAGAAAAGGCAGAAAATTTGCAAGAAGCTTACAATGGATACTTCTTGATGAGCGTGGAAGAAAGAAAGAATATCGTAGATATATACGGAAGGAAAAGAGCACCATTTTACTATATGAGGAAACTCGGTTCCATTTTTCAGCCCGGTGAAGATTACACTTATCTAGAAGAGATTCAGCTGTAAATTTACATCAATATCTGCTTAAGAAAATTCCCAACTTTACACAATTACCAGTAGTTAGTTTACAAAAAAAGGGTGTTAAGTTTATCTTCGTTTTATTTAATTTGCATAATTCTAATTATAAAAATTCAGCTAGAAAATTAAAAAAAGATGTATTAATTGTTTTTTTTTTTGGACAAAATATTAAAGCTTTCTTCCTCAAAAATGACGTTTGCATTTTAATATTATTGAGGTAGCTAGACCTAAAAACATAGATAATCCTATAAGGCGATATAAACCGGGAACCGAAGGTAAGTTACGTTGCCAAAACGATGGTTTGATAGGAATGTCAACAACATCCTGGAAAAGAGATGACTTTTAGTACTAAAAACGACGTGATATATACAGTGTAGTGGCGGTTTTAGATATAACAACCTAGGCTTTGTCTAGGACAGGGGTGGCGAACCTGTTACACGTCGGAAAAATATCTGGCACGGAACGTAACACGCGATTTCGGTTTTTCACCTTTCTTTTTCAATCATCTTCTTTATATTTATTCTAATTAAAGAATATTGGTTTCATTTCTTTGAATATCGTTCATCGAAGAGTAAAACTTTGGCACGCATAAACATTTTAAAGATAAGCGTACTTGTTAAGTGGTACGTGGACTCAAAAAAGGTTCGCCTTCCCCGGTCTAGAATCTTGGGCTTTAGGGATTTCTGATAAGCGCGAACGTACGCTTTCTCGGATTTGGCCCAGTACTCGAAATCTACTATACAGACTTTTTATATTACAAACTTATACAGAAGGCCCTCGGGGACCTTAGGGTTTCACTCCTAAAACCGCCACTAGTTTGATTATTATAGTACTACCTTGGCAGGAGGCTCTATTCTCCAAATATCCTCTTTTCTGAGCTTTCCCATAGAATGAAGCACTTCTCTAGCCGCTCTTTCACCCGCTTGTATGGCTCCTTCCATGTATCCGGACCAAGAAACCGCAGTTTCTGTTCCCGCAAAGTACATCCTTCCTACGGGTTCTCTTATTACCCTACGCGTAACATAATAATAATTATTAAAATACCGTTGTGTATAAATATTAAAGTTATCACGATAATTCGCTTACTTTCCGTATCTGGTTAAGAATCCAGGTGGAAACATAGCGGTGTAACATCCTCCCGAGTACTGTTCTGCCATCCAATTGTATTCTTCGTAATGAATTGGCTAAAGGCAAAACTGATGAATATCTAATTTTAAATAGTTTTATATATTATAAAGTTAAACTTACCTCTAGAAATTCTTTCAATCCAAACACATCAGCGTAGCATTTAGCAAAAATTTGTTTCCTTTCCTCTTTGGTACGCGTGGCTAAATTTCGAACGCAATCGGTTGGCACAAAACTGTCCAAAGACAAGGGAACTGCGCTTAGCACTTTGCTTGTATTTGTCAATTTAGAATAATTTTGCAATTTATATTAAGACCAAAAAAGTTGTTTTAAACACAATAAAATAAATTAATTAAATGAATATGTGGCTCCATCTGTTGCCATCATTTGTTTAATATTCAGAATTTTAAATACAGTTTACGACAGATTTGCCAATCGTTTTAGTAATAAAATTTTATTGTAATGTTAGTTAGTATTGCTCGGTTATATATGTATATTTTGAAACTTGATTGCTCGGTAATAAATTACAAAAATGATCAGTCGATTTGAAATCATCGGTGAATTAGTGAATTTTAATTATTTTAATTGCTAACGAACCCAACAATTGCTGGATAACTTCCATCGGGTTTAGTATCGTCAAAAGTGCCCGCTATTGGATGTTCTTCGTCGGTATCAATTAATGCCGTACCACAGAAACCTTAAAATAATCAACCACCAGCGAGTTATTGCGTATAAGATTAATATTTTACAAAGGAAGATTTGTTTTCCTGTTATCAATAACATTACCTTTGGCTCTCCAAAATGGCGTACGGTAGTACAAAATGGCCTTCATGACGGAACCCATCGGGCATCTTTGTATCATTTGGTTTCTAATGGGTGGTAGAGGAGGATCGTAATGGATCTTCATTTGTAGCATAGGGGGTATCGCCATAATTATATAATTTGCCTGAGAAAGATTTTAAATATATTTTATTTGTGATTTTAAATGCATCAAGATGCATTTCCTTATACGATACAAAGTATTACTCTATAAATGTCTCCGTTTAACGTTTTGACCATGACACCATCGGCTAACTGGTGGATCGTTGCGACTGGAGAGTTTAATCTTACAGAATCTTTTAAAAAAAACGTTATAAGAGATCAATTTATAATTATAAGAGTTAGAATTAATTATAATTAATTTGCAATACCTCCTAATCGAGCTGCAATGCGTTCACTAATCTGCTGACTTCCTCCTATAAATTTTCTTTCCTGTAGCGACGAAATTAAATTTTAGCGTAAAAATATGTATTTGGCCACTAATTCCTCATATTAAATATACATAAAATACATACTTGTCCGCCATTTGTAGAGCTAATCATCTTAACTATTCCATTACACAATTTGATATACCATAAAGCCCACAAGAGCGAAGCCTCGTACTGCGAAGATGTCAATGCTAACTCTAAAAATACTTTGGCAATTGCACGTACCTGTCTTTAAAAAATATATTTGTATTATTCTGAATAATTTAACGAGTCCGAGCTAATTTTATAAGTCAAAATTTACTTGGTATAACAGATTTTATCAACGAATTCGTGATACGTCATTGTGTCCCATTCCTCCGCACGAGGAGCCTTCCAAGGTGCATCTGCTGGAATCTAATGAAAGTTTTAAGTTTATTTAACGTAACCGTAAACACGAACAATAAATTTATCTTACCTCTTCTCCCATTTTATCCAGTGTTCTTGCAAAATTTAACATATCTAATTTTACAATAGGATTCCAAAAAGGAATAGAAGGCGAATCAGCAAAATAACGATATAATTTCCCCTAAATTATTAAAAATAGGGAATTTATTTATGCTTTATTATAATCCTTAATAAATGCAATAATCTTAAATACAGGAAAGATCGCGATATTTTGAGATCATTGAAACTATCTAAACTTTATTTATACTGTATTATAAAAAGGCATGCGAATTTAACAATGTATCGACGTGGGAAAATTTTTTCAAACATTATTATTATTTTCAAAATATACTTTTAAGTTACTTCATACCCACAACACTCACGACACGAAATCAATAGATTGCTCACGATTCTTCGAGGGAATTATAATTCTTGTTCTATGATCAAGAACTCCATCAGTGCAAATTGATAAACATTCAATACTTTATTCTTTTATAACAAAATTTACTACATTTGATAAATATTTCATAAATGAAACTTCCTTTCGAGTCTCGTGATTGGGTTGAATCGCTTGTTTTATTGACACAAAAGCCTCGATCAGAGCCGGCCCTACCATAGGGCGAACGGAGCAGTCGCTCCGGGCGCTAAGTCCTAGGGAGCGCATCAGTGATAAAGAAAATTAAAAGGTACAAATTAGGGGCAACCAAGGGGGGCGCCATAATAGGATCTCGCTCCATCCTAAAACTTGCCTCGGGCCGGTACTGCCTCAAATCATACTACCGAAGTAACCAGTAGATTTAAATAATTATAAAATCATCAGGATAATGTATACTATAAATTATTCCACGGAGGTGACATTTATCATATTATGATATAAACAACTAATCATAATAATGACTTATGAAAGAGCTTCGAGCAACTGGTTAAGTCCAAGGAATGTCTCCTGGCGCTCTACTTACGCGGTTCTTCACTAAATTTGTGAAACGAAATGTTACTTCACCAACTTAATATAAATACGAATACGTAGACCTACACATTAAATCTTTTAAAATTGTTTTGAGACCACCCAACCGCGCTTGTAACCGTGTATTTTAGATTACTGTTTGTTATAATTTTCAAAGACAAACCTTGGTATAGTATACAACATGTTCTGTTTCGTCTAACTTATAATTATTTATTCCCAGTTCTCTGGTTAATCTGAAGAGATGGTTTTGCGAAGGTCCTATATAGGAACCTCCCAAATCTACGTAACCGACGGATGCATCCTAAAAGAAAAAAATGAATAATAAATCTGAAGAATTAAGTAATGTTTTTATGTATAACAAATTTTAAAACAAGTTTGGGCTAACCTTTTTAGTAAGCGTTCTTCCTCCTACTCGATTCCTGGCTTCTAAAACAATAATATCGATGTTGGACTCGCGAAGCCATTTAGCAGCCGACAAACCTATCGAATAATAAAACAAAAAAGGTTTTATAATATAAATTATTTAAATTTTATAGATCTAAGGATTGAAAAGATGGGGAACTTTTGAACGTTTAAACACGCCTGGAAAGCCGAGGCCCGGGCAAAGGTTTAGAACCTAAACTTTAGATTATAAAAGATACCTAAACGTTTCCCCGGGGGCCTCGGCTTTTAGAAGCTTGAAATGCTGGTCGATTTTAGTTTCGGCTCATTGTTCGGAATCTTTATTAGACAAGTGTCACCGAGCGCTTCTACTCACCAAAGAAACCTTGGGGCTGTCCATAAATGAGATCCACTCTGGAAGGGAAAGAAAGGGAGAGACAGAGGAAAGGGTTGAACTTCGATAGACATGTTTTATTTAAAATTTTATACAGCTTATGCATTTTATTATTCAAAAATGATAAAGGTTTTGAGGGGTATTGAGTTTTGTTGAATGTCCGAAGAGGAGAGGATGTTATGTAGACTTGGACAAACTGGGACAATGGGGAAGGGAGAGTAAAAATTTCAAGGACAGTTCCTTGTGGGTGCGATTCCGAATACGTGGCAAACATTTCGGGGCCCGATTCTTCAAATAATTTTGACCGCAAAAGAGTGTACGAACACGGGTTCAAAACAGCGCATTGTGTTAACTGTTAAAAATGAAAACTCCCAACCGTCACATCCGTAATTGATCATTAATTTTAACGGGATCGCGTATTAAACGTCCCGTAAGTTTAAAACAGTGCCATTTCGTAAGCATTTTTATAGTTGAAATTATCGGAGGACTCGGTCGCCGAATTTTTCGCACGTTAATACAATGGCCCCGCAGGCCTGTGAGTGTTCTATTTCATTTTATTATTAACAAATTTAACGCTTTAAAAAGCGTCAAATTTGTTCAAAATGATTTTATATAAACAATTTTCTTTCGAAAAGTTTCCGTAGATTACTTTATATTTAGGCTACCGGGGGTAACTTATCTCGTACGCCTCTGTTTACATTTGCAATATTGATAAAGTGCGATAAAAGACACGCAATCAGACATCTATACCCTTAGAACTTTATTAAATACACTATATATAGGCCTATATTTTTAATAAAGTGTTTTTTTTCAATTTTTTTAAATAACTAAAAATTAAGAACTTTACCTTTCCTGCGCTAAATTAAACAATTACATCTAGTATTAACCAGTTTTTATGTTGAAGATTTAAGTATGTCGTTCTAGTTGAATAGTGAGTTTTACGATAATTTATAATTAATTAATATGTTATTGAAATATAAATATCAAAACCCCAAAGTTATATATTCAAGTCAAACGATTGCCGAATTACGTGGTATATCGGGCCATATTATTACTACTGTTATTAATTAAATGTTTAAGTAATTTGACACTAAAGGCAGATTTTAGGCGCCATCTCTTGCTAAATGTAATCACTATAATCAATTTTAAGCTTTGAAAATGTAAATAAAAGTATTTTAAAGCTTTTTTATGAGCAAAAATTATTGCTCGAGCGCTCGAACTCGCTTAAAATATCAGAAAATCTACTAAAAATGAACACCTAAGCTTCGATGCCACTACATTTTCTTATCACTATACATATATTATTTGAATAGAAACAATAGAAAATTCTTTATAAATTGTTGAAGATTACAAAAACAAGAATGACATCGTGACTAATCTCTTACATAACTTCGTGATTACATTAAAAGTCAGAGATAAAATTCGAGATTCATTGAGGCCCCTTCGGTATTTACATTCGCGGCAAATTTATTCGAATCATTTTAAAGTCGATTTATAATTTATTACTTATTTTAAAGTTATAAACCGGGAGAAATAACATTTCTACAAAAAAATATTCTTTTCACGGTTAATTTATTTATATCAATTAAGGTTATTTTCGAGTAAGTTGACCAGGAAACGTGTCGAGCAACAGACACGGACTTTGTACGGTTTTGAATTACCTAGATATAATTTAATTAACGGTGTAATAAAATTATACCCTCGAGTTTTTATAGATTAAAGCTGTAATATCTTTAAATTGTCTGCAAACTCAAAATTGTCTGCAAAACTTCAATAACTCTGCGTGACAACTTTTTGAGGCCTCAAATATTGAAAAATGAAAAACAACCTTAAAAAATGTATTATAATTTTTAGATAATAAAATTTGATACAGAATAAAAGTATACTTTTACTCCTTAATAGACGAGAAATGTAATGAAATGAACTATGAGGTTTATTTATATAAAGAATCGATATAAGCTACTTCGTTGTTAGCTTACGTCAAAAAAATCTGAGTGTTTTATTTTTCACCAATTTTTACGTCGAAATAAAAATATTCTGTAATCTAGGATGTGGCGAGAATCCAATTTTAGTATTTCGTAATGTTTTATAACGAGACAAATTAATTGTAATAGAAATTAATCCCGGAAACAATAAAAAATGTGGAGCATCATTAGCATTCTAATCATTCGATGTAGTGCATTTTGCATAAAATTGTAGATGCTCTTTTATATCGAATTAAGTTTTTATAATTATATTTTACAGGTTTTAAAAGACACGGATAACTTAGAAATTTCAATTTTTGACGCGTGTTTTAGAAATTGAACACAGGATGCGACTTAATTTATACAGCTTAACTTCGCTTCCTATATGGCTGAAATATAGAGAACAACTGAACGGTTGCGTAACGTCGGCTCAATTCCTGTATACGTGGAGTAAAAGTAAATTCAGTTTAAACTATTTATCATTCTATTTTTAGTTAAAAATCTCAACTTTTCGCATTGGTTCGACCCTGAAAACTTTTTATGCTTCGGCTATTTTCGGTAAACTTATAAAAGGACGTACTTAAATACTCCAATTTTCTTATTTTATATAAAAAAATTTAAATTTTATTCGATAAACTGCTCGATAACTTGTTTATCTAATAATAAAATATTAAATTAAAATAAAATATTCGATAGATTTGTATAATGTTAGCCGTATTCGACAACATTGAATAGCTCTTACCGCTAATTCCGGCCCCGATGATGATAACTTGTGTTCTTTCCGACATGATAAAACGGCGATTACGGAGATACCTTTAAAAATACAACCTCATCGACTGCTGTCAGCTAGCAAAATGGCAAGGCAGATTCTGCAACAGGAAGAGATCTAAGGTCAGGGTCAAAACAACGGAAGAATTTACTGATTCTGTAATCTCTCGCATTCAGATTCGTATCGTACGTAGCAGCGGGACGGTTCTATTTTAAGTAAACTTCTATAAAACGCTACAAGTTCCAAGGGCATAAAAATTAAGTTAAACAATAGGGAGAAGTATGGAAATTTTGATACCGATGATCGCAGTTTTCGAGTTTCAGTTACGGTGTTAAATAATTAACTAAGATTAATTCATTTATCGGAGCGTATTTCAGATTATCGCTAATGTGCAGTATTAGATAGGAGAAAGGATTTGCCCTTGACTTCAATTAAATATTATCACGAGTATTGAATCGTTGACGTCACGTCTGCTACGGGGTAAAGTTTCACCTGTCTTTGATCACTTCGCCTATAACTTCCATTTTTTTTCTAAATATTTACAACTTCCTCTTCAAATTTAGCTAATAATATATAGAATTAATAAATAATATATTTTTAAAGTTAGATTAAAATAAACCAGCTACAAATCGCCTAAAAAGACACGTTATTTTCCTTCTTATACACGAATCCGCGAGTGAATAAACTTTAGCGCAGGTGGTTTACTTGATTATTATTTTAAAAAAACTTGTTTTAGAAGGTCAACGAATCAAAGGTGAAGATGTATATTTAAATTCGTATATATTATTTTCTAAAAATTCCTGGTTTTAACTATTAAATTATTTAACTTTTGAACTTCGTGAACTTCAAGTACGATATATCAATTACTTTTTAATGTGTAAAGACGCAACGTTTTTCGATTAAGTTAAATAATATTAATAAAATAATAATTTATTCTGTGAATATAACGCGTGTTCTAAAAGTTCTAGGAATAGATCAAACAGATTAAAACTAAAAACCATACATCTTGTTANTTTTAAAGCTGAAACTGCTATTCATCTGTAACCATCTGATTACTATGCTCTTGTTTTTAATGACTTTTTTTCTTTACCAAAAGTTGAAAAACATTTTAAAAGTCCTCAAACTGTGTTTAAAACTTCATTATATAATACTGAAATATTTAAAAAATAAATTTTATAGTTTGTATTATTTTCTAAAAAATTTCAGTCGCCTAACTTGTAGACTGTAGACTAAATTTATACACATAAATCAAGAATAAACTATAAATAAGTGATGTAAAAAATCTAAGTATCTGTTTTACTCAGGCAAAAATACTTTAAAAGAAAAATTAATATAGTTAAGAATGCTCTATGTTACAGATATAATAGATAAATCAAAGTTGCCACATTGAATCTTTTCTGGAAAATAGAAATATAATCTAGAACAAATATGGATGATATTAATTACAATAAAACTTTGTTTTGTTTATTATATTAAAGATTTCATGCAGAAATATTCAGAACTGAAATATTTAATTTAGTTAAGAAAGAAATTATTATTGAAATTACTTCAATTATAGGAATAGTGCATTTTGGATTATTGTTAGACTTCTTTTGAGGTTTTTTGAACAAGATAAAAGATATAACTATTTTAATTAATATTTAAATGAAGATAAAAGATGTAAATCAAAAAGAAACAAGACAGTATGAGTTGTTTTAGTAGAAAATATGATAGATTCATGCCATTATTGTGATTGTGGGAAAAGTTCGTAAAGAAGTGTAGAATCTGCGCATTATATAAAGACGCACAATCCAGATTTGATAAAATAAAACACAATTATTTATTTACTCGCTAGTTCAAATACAGATTTTATAGGATACCAACAATCCTACTTGTCCTTTTACTCGAACCGAACATCCAATAATTAAAATTATCTTAATTTATACTAGGTTTCTATTACTACTTAAACTTATTGAATATAGCCGGCTTATTCAAAGAGTTAGAAGATGAAAGTAAAGGATAAGGAAAGAGGGTACCCAAACTTGATGAAGCAGGCTGACTCGTGTGGGCTTGTGGATGAGGCTTCTCGTCGGTCTGGGGACTGATTGGCTCACTTTTTGTTTCACACTGAGATATTAATCCAAAAGGGGCGATCCGTATGGTTCCTCTTAATTAAGTTCCTTTTTCTTTTCTCGTTCTAAAGTTCCCTTTTTCTTTTCTCACCATACGATGCTAAAATCTACAGGGGAAACTTTCCTTTTTCTTTTCTTCCTTCCTCTTCCTTCCTTCCAGTCTCACGTCCTTTCCACTTTCCTCTCACTTCCAGTCCTTTTCACTCCTCCTCTCTCTTCTCCTCTCACTTCCCTTCTGCCTCGTTTTTTCTCTCCCTTCTCTTCTCGTTCTCCCTCTTCTTAACTCCCCCTCGTTCCTCCTCTCACCTTAGTCCACTCATATCCCCTCTCAAAAGCCTTCCATTCATTCCTTTCCTCTCAGTCCACCCACACACTAAAGTCAATGGTAAGACAATAACATGATAGAAGAGTAAACAAATAGGACAGACGAAGGTGAAGTGAAGATATATATATATACATATATATCNATTAAAAATTATATTATTACATTTAAGACTATAAGTTTTTTTAATTTAATTTACTTTTAGATAACTTTTTAGTAGATATAAACTGCAAATTAGCGAAGTTATGACGAGAAGCCACGATTTTGTCTTTATCAAAAAAGTAAGATTTATTATTATATTTTCTTGATAAAACTTGTTTAAAATTTAATGCGAGGAAAGCCAAGGCACTCGTTCTCCGTATGAAAACAAATTTTTTCCTCGGATGTTGACCAATCGAACTCTTACATAATCCAAAGTATCAACATTTTTCTAACTCTAAGCATTTTGCGAAAGCGGGATCCCTCTTTCACAAAATTCCATACGTCAACTTTTAAAGAACCGACACCCGTGGTCGTATTAATTTTTTAACTGGACGCATATTTACCAGAGACATTATAAATGGGTCACCCGTAGTAGTTAGATAGATTCCGCCAAAGCCGAGATTTTGCGCAACCGTTCTAAGGTAAGGTAAGGGGGTGCCGATAATTAAAGTTCACATTTCAAAAACATATAACTGGGGAACTAATCGACGTTATATTTTACGCGGAGACTTCTGTGATAACGGAATTTTATTTGAAAACAAAAATGTCCGCTAGAGCGGTAAGCGGCGTTGCGACATCGTAGTGAATAATAAAATGTCTCAAAACTTACTATACACGCGGTGCGCAGTGGGATACGTGCGGCCTCCATTGTCTGCAACGTGCCGAAATCGTCAATCGCACGTTGGACAACAGCACTCGAGCTTTGGAGATCGGCGTGTCCAGCCTGTAATAGCCACACATCGAAACACGTGTATAGTAAGTTTTGAGATATTTTCGTTGTTGTTGTGTTTTGACGTAATCACGCTTCGCTTCTTCCGTCTCACATAACACAACTACTCCAAGTTACATTTTCTGATAGTCTCCGAAGCTTGCCACGTTTTCTTCCAGTCATTTCCTGGATATATTAGAAGGTTAAATTACATTTGAAAAAAAGTTCTCTTTGGTTAACACAACGTAAAATGCATATTATATAAATGTGTTTTATCCAGAGTAATCGAAAATCTTTTAGTTTAAAAAATAAGAAAGAATTATGACCTAAATATTCTCTCCTCTGATGGAATAAGAGGTGGAGTAGCTCCATTAATTGCGCTGTAAACGGCAGGCAAGCAATTTACGGTATAAGTTACCAAATCAGGTGGCGGAACGGTTAAGTACCGAATACAGCAAATAGCTCCGCGTAATGATTTCACAAATATGTTTTTATTTATCTTGTAGAAGCATACAAAAACAAGCGCGAGACGTCTATAAGCATACTTTTAAGGAAGATACTTTGGACTTATGTGTAACAAATGCGCACTTACCAGTTAATATTATGTATTCAATTTTTAAAAGTACCTTTAAAGACCGGACGAGAAACGTAATGGTTGTTTGTTTCTCCCATTGGAGATTTTTATACAGAAAATGTTCGAATACTTCCAATGTATAGAACAGACCCGGCCAGCCCAAATTGTTTCGAGGGCCACTTCGATCACGCGTAGCATTACAATGGGCCGCAATTTGGGCAAACACGCTTTTAAAAAAGTAAAACAAATACAAAATTAATAAGATTTTATTATTATACCAAAAGTTCGTACTCGCACTCACGTATTATAACAATGACACACGCAAATTTTCATTTATTTAATTGTTTTGGTATACACATAACGGGAAACAAAAGTTTTAATAGATATATAATATCGCTTAGCGGGCCACACAATTTAACGTGAAGGGCCGCGGGTTGGCCAGGCCTGGTATAAAAGGACAATGTATAGTAATTTCTAGAAATGACTGCAGTAAACAACAGAAATTATTTTGCAAAAAAATACTCGTAATTAAATGAAGTATATTTTATAAATAGACGAAAACATCAAATTTCCGCTCGAATAAGTACCACTCGATACGTATTTATCACACGACCCCATTTGACGTGTCGAAACATTACAAAACAATAACAATTTAGTTAGCAAAAAAATTTTATCTAGAGAGGACGAATTTTTATAAACATCCAACGTGTTACTCGGCTCTCGGGATTTTCATCCCAACCGTCTGTTGTAAAAACATTTTCCGAAATTTAGATAACGAGATTCATAATTACTTCGTTTTTTATGGGCTGTTCGGTGCTCTCGACCGTTTCGTTTGACCTGACAAAAACATTTCCTGTGTTTATCCGAATCCTTCATTTCGTTTCTAAAATAAAGTATAATGAAACGGGAGAAATTCTTTTCAATCGGATTAAATTAACAAAGCAGTTCACGCTTCACTTTAAGTTTTAATTATATTCGGGCCTAGACCATATTATAATAAATATATTACGTGTTGTTTTAATATCTTACAATCCATAAAAATACACGGCCGGGTGGCCGAGCGGTCGAGGTGGCAATCAACCGATCCGAGGACCCGGGTTCAAAAACTCTCCAGGACTTTTTCGAGGGTGGTCTGTCCGGATATGTCGGGCAGAGCCGGCCCTACCATAGGGCGAACGGAGCAGCCGCTCAAAGGCGCTAAGTCCTATGGGGCGCCTCAGTGGTGAAGAAAAAAATATTTTTTTTCACTTTTCGATATTTTAATTGCAAGCGTGTGACCAGTATGTGAATGGCCTTATCTGTTGAAACGCGCGTGGGTCGAGTGCGTGGCGGGATTCCACTACCGGGCGCCATAATAGGATCTCGCTCCATCCTAAAACTTGCCTCGGGCCGGCGCTGATGTCGGGCCCCGTCCCTCCCCATCCGGCTGCCCCATTGT